CCAAGGATATAGACTACTTGTGTGGCTTATATTGTCTGTGGTTAGTACGGACTACTGGCCCGTGTCTAATTCAGATGAATAAATTTGTGTGTACAGATTCGTGCTTCACAGAAAATTTACGGGGCACTCACAAACGTGTGAACTCTACCTGAATAAACAACAGCCAAAATTTTAAAACCCCCCATGTGAGATGTCGATGTGAACCGCTACTTGTACAACAAACAGGATTGAATTCAGATTCACGATGACTTAATTTTCTACCATGGAAGACTGCTAATCCTACCAAAGGGTTGCCACCAAAACTACATATATAGTAACTATTCATACTGAGTCTTAATATTGTAATTTTGCGAGTTTCAACTGTGTTTGAGCGAATAATATGGTAATATTGAAATCTCTCTCAATCTTTCTCCATCCATCTGTGTTCATATCCTATTTTTATGTACGCATATAGATTAGCTTCTTTCCACTTCGACAGACCCACCACAAGTTGCAAAAACAAGCCTAGATTTGTAAATTATTAGAAATATATGGTAAATCTACAATATTTTCTTTGTAATTGAAAGGATAATAAATAATGGTTGCAAGGTACATTTTCTATTGGTTCTTTCTAGCCATGTAACGCACTCGGCACTCCGGCCGATGCTCATGGGCAAATTGGCAAATGAGAGTTTGAACCTCCCACATATCTAGATTTCATGACTGCGAATGCAAGAGCTTTCAAGGGCTCATGCAAGAATAAATATTTACTTTAACCCACGCATCTCATCTAGGTTAAACATAGGTTGAGAGGACGACTCTCTTCAATATTTACCCTTAAGATATTAAATGTTCGTCTTTGCAAATAAATATTTAATGTTTGGCATGGCTCGAAAAGCTCGAAGTGCAACATATCTGCTGAAACTAAAATTATGAGAAAAAATGGGGATCCTCCGCTAGACTCCATTATATGTTAGGCTTGTTCTATTAGGACTTCATTATATGTTAAGGTTTCATTGTACCTCTTTTATTCATCTTTGATATAATGAATTTTCTCCTCCTCTTTCCGTGATTTCTTTCTGGCTTGGAATTTCACGTAGATCTTGTGTTTTTGATTTTATATTTGCATTTTCTCGCTTTTTCATAACAGTTATCTTCAATCTCCTTTTAATTTTTCAGCTTATCCTTATTCCTTAACATGCCCAACAAGATGGAGTTCCTGTTCAAGAGTCTGACCTTTGACAATGTGCGAGTGAACTTGCCAATAGATAATCGCTTAGAGAGACTGTCAACCAGTGGATAGAGAAAATAAGGGAGACATCAAAGGAGTCACCAGTAACATCATGCACAAAATTTATTATCGACGAGAATGTGCTTCAGGCCGGTGTGAAAAATCGGATTGACTGAGAGATGTGTAGCTCTGATGTTGCCACAAAATACGGTTGGCCGATTATGTAACCGTACCCTGAGATCTTATAATATATTTTTGATCTGGAAAGCTTCGACGGAGCAAAAGGCAAGGGCAAGATGCTCAGTCTCAATAAAGGATCGGCTTTTAGAGCACCAAGAAACAAGAGAACCATCAAAATAAATAAGGGAAAATTAGGCTCAATACGCTGGAAACGAAAAAAATTAGATTAATGCATTAAAATGAAATAAACCTCACATAAACCGTAATTAATACGTCCTTACTAAAATCTGCAAACCTCAACACCCTCTAGAGAAACCTCCTCTCACGTCTCACACCAACATATGATTCCAAAACCAAAGAGAAACCTCCTTCTTTGTCGTTTTTCTGTGGTCTTCATCACTCCACCATCTTTGCCAT